ATCCCCGAGGAGCTGGGCAGAGGCTCGCTCGTGGGGCCGCTGGCGCGGGACCTGGGGCTCAGCGCGGACGAGCTGCCGGCGCGCAAGCTGCGGCTGAGCGACGAGAAGCAATACTTCACGGTGAATGAGGAGAACGGCAACCTGTACGTGAACGAGAGGCTGGACCGGGAGGAGATGTGCGGCGAGTCGGCGTCCTGCTCTGTCAGCTTCGAGGCGCTGGTTCACAACCCGCTCAACGTTTTCCACATCGAGGTGTCCATCGAGGACGTGAATGACAACTCCCCGGTCTTCAGGAAGGATGTTCTGGACCTCGAGATCGGTGAATGGACTCCTCCAGGTGCTCGTTTTCCTCTGGAGACTGCACGAGACGCTGACGTAGGAAGCAACTCGCAGATGACTTACCATCTATCCAGCAACGCGTCATTCCATTTGGCTTTAAATGGGAACCCCGGTGGAAGTCAGCAGCCAGAATTAGTGCTAGAGAGCGCGTTGGATCGGGAGAAGCAGAGTTCCTTTGAATTAGTTCTCATGGCAGTGGATGGTGGGGATCCCGCGAGATCTGGGACTGTCCAGGTTCGCATCAATGTGACAGATGCCAATGACAACCCGCCCGTGTTCAGCAAAAGAGTCTACGAGGAGAGAGTGGCAGAGAATCTGCCTTTGGGGTCGTTGGTGCTGCAGGTGGTGGCCACGGATGCAGACGCAGGCTCCAACGGGCGAGTGTCCTATTCCTTTGGAAACGTCCCCGAAGACGTCCCCTTGTTGTTCACTGTCGACAGCAACAAAGGGGAGGTCAGGACGGCGGGTCTACTCGACTTTGAGGACAAGAGTAAATACGTCTTCAGCCTGGAGGCGAGAGACGGTGGCGGGCTCAGCTCTCACTGCGAAATACACATCGAAATTACAGACGAGAATGACAACGCGCCCGAGATCACCATTCTATCCCTGTCCAGTCCCGTGCCCGAAGACGCGCCGCTCGGAACCGTGGTGGCCGTGCTGAAAGTGCGGGACAGGGACTCCGGTGAGAACGGCCAGGTGTCGTGCGAGCTGTCGGGGGAGGCGGGGCTGTCGATGGTGGCATCGTCGGGCGGCTCGTACAAGGTGGTGACGGCGAGCGCGCTGGACCGCGAGCAGGCGTCGGAGCAGCGCGTGACGGTGGTGGCCCGGGACCGGGGCAGGCCGTCGCTGTGGAGCAGCAGGGAGCTGGTGCTGGAGGTGTCGGACGTGAACGACAACGCGCCGGTGTTCGAGGAGGCGGCGTACAGCGCGTACGTGGCGGAGAACAACGCGGCGGGCGCGCTGGTGCTGCGCGTGCAG